GAGGAGTAAATATGAGGTTAGAATGGAAAACAGTTTTAATGTGGAAGTAACCAGGCTAAAAGGAATCTAATCAGGGGACACCAGAGGAGAAGCTGACAAGTGGTCTCAATGAATGCTGGTAGGGAGGTAAGGGGAAACAATATCGCAGACAAAGAAAATTGGTCAATAAATAAATAAGCACTCCCTTGCATGTCACCAAGGTTCACAGCCTCCAGTATAAACCAGAAACAGGCCGGTAGGTGATCTAACAGTTGAGGTACAGTAACTGGCAACACTAAATCACAGGAAGATGTGCAAAAATACAAAGATGTGGAACCTGACTGGTAACTAAGGGCACTTGTAATGTTTACAGAGTGAAATTTTTTTTAAAAATTCAAATTAAGATGGGGCCATGTTAAACTAAACCCAAAATAATCAGAGTAATTATGACTAAACAAAAAAATGTACATCACACTGATCTCAATAAGAAATAAAAGTTCAAGCAAAAACATTGCTGCAGAGCCACCTGCTGGCCAAGCCATGCTTTTCACGTGATCAATATTAAATATCATGGCCCAGTTAGCCACTATTCCAGTATAAATGGGAATTGCACACAAGGACCCGAAGGAATTGCAGCAGGCTCTGAAGAAATTGCCTAGGAATTTGAAGATTCTGCTAGACAAATCTCCTACGTCTTGAACCCTCTGAAAGAATCCATTTTAAAATCAAAGAATTCAGTGGATTGAGTAAATACTTACTCATCAAATGCATAGTTTAACTCCAGAGTAACTATTCAAGTGAGCCCATATTTATCTCACACACCCCAAATTACATCTCCTCCACCTCAACCCCAATCCAGAAACCACCCAGGCAGCCAAAACTCCTCGTCCAACCCCAGACTGAACATGAACTCCCTTTTACCCCCTAAGCCCCTGAATCCCTTATTACCTGCTGGACCTAGCTTACCTTGTGGCTCTTCCCACCCTCCCCCACCAAGGCATGACATCCCCTCCTACACCAGACCCAAATTTTTTCACCCATCCTGACTTGCCCTATGCACTCCGTCGCTTACCTGCTCCCAACCCCTTGCATCCTAATCACTGCCCACTTAGCATCTTACTCAACTGGCACCCTCACTGCTATTCATCTAGCATCTTACACTTGGCATCATGCCCCAGCTGGCAATCTACTGATCCATCACCCTGATATCACACTTTTCTGAGATATTTAGCCAGTTTTTGATAGTTGTTGTCAGATGTTATCAGGACTTTCACAGTTCAGAATACAGCAAACATTTTTTTTAAAAAACAAAAATTAATTCACGGGACATGGAAACCACTGGCCAGGCCAGGATTTATTGCCCATCCCTAATCTGCAGTCGAGAGTCAATCACATTGCTGTGGATGGAGTCATATGTAGGCAAGATTGGGTAAGGATAGCAGATTCCCTCCCCTAAAAAGGACACTAGCAAATCGGATGGGGTTTTCCAACAGCAACAATGGTTACATAGTCATCATTAAACTCTTAATTCTAGATTTTTATAGAATTCAAATTCCACCGTCTGCCATGACAGGATTTGAATCAGGGTACCCTGAACATTATCCGAGTCTCTGGATTAATTACCGCTAGGCCATCGTCTCCCCTGATTGCTATAAAAATTGGGTATGGGTTTATCTTCCTCTGACAGTTCTGAGCTATGGAAGAACTGTCAGAATGGAAGTATTTCTGAATAAGTCCCAATTGGAATCTCTTCTCATAAGATGATGTTCCAGACTGGCAATCTACATTGTCACTCCTTGGAAACTCCCAACCATTCGCTTTAGCAGTTGTTTATTTCACACCAGAAATAGCCAATGCATTCCACCTTCAAGGCTAACAGATACACAAGTAGGTGATGTAAACATTTGTTAAAATGAGAAATTTCATTAGGGTAAGAGGAGTCGACAAGGGTCCTCAATGAAATTTCAAATGGAATACAGTGATCCATACGTTCCTTGACGATGCAACTGGTGGAAATGGCAACACAAATGCTGACACCAGAACTGTACTCACACTTTGCTATCATTTATTGACTTAAGTCTTAACTCCAGAATGGCTAGAGAATTTGTAGAGCTATTGAAATCTTAAATATTTGTATCAAGCCATGGGTTAAATATTCACAGCAATTGTCAAAAATGAGATTTTCTACCAATAAACCATTCAATCCCCATATGGGAAATTTCCCAACTGTTGTTGATCATTCCACACAACAACTATCTCATAATGTTGGACCACTCTCCATACTGGTTGTCATAGAAACGTAAGGAAAAACTATTTATGCAATGCATAAATATGTTAATACAGTGGCTTATTATTCCACAAACAAAATCAGTCTCAATTTATAATGCAGAATTAAATTTCCTTTGTTTGTTCATCTATTGTCTTTATTCTTATACATCAGTGCATAATAAATGCAGACACAACGAAATATGCATACATCTCAAGAACAAATAAAATGAACAAATTCCTGACCTTCAGTGCCTTTTTTAACCAAAAAACAAAAATGAGAAAGGCACCAACAAAATACAGATAATAAAACTTGTAATGTATTTTGGCATTCAAATGATATTCCAATTTGCAGACTACTTCCAAACCATAAAGGAAAACGCTGAACCACTTACTGGTAATAAGAACTTAAACTTCATGAAATATTTCTTTAACAATTTGTTTTATCCCAAACTATTAGATGCAAATATGAAAAATTACATACTAATTCCGTCAAGTCTTGGGATGTAATCAAGGGGTTTAATGTAATCAAGGTTCATTAAAATACTGACAAGAAAATCATCTTAGATAATATATATTTACCAAGAAATTGAAAATAATGGATTGAAATCACCCAGAACATAGACAAAACCTAAAAATTTCTGCAAATTAATCCAGTTTAAGGAAAGTTTTCTCTCATACCTAGATGGCTAATTCTTAAGGGTCATGTACAAATCTGTGAAAGATGTTGTCTGTATTCACCAGATTTATAAATGATGATGAGTCAAACTGATCCAAAATAATGCAATAGCTGTTACAAAGACAAGCTTTAAGTCACATTATAATGCATTATTATATAGTGGGTACACTATGCACACGGCTTGCAATACGAGAAAAGCAGTTCAAATTGTGTCCCTTTTACTGTCACACTGTAAACATTTTGTTTTGGTGAATTTGCAGAAGTGATAGCTGGTCAAATATGAAAGATGTCAACTCCTTGGATTTCAGGTGGAATTCCTCCCAACTCTCAGAAGTTTCTGAGCTCGAGAGATTAAATTGCTGGTGCAACATAGCTGATGAAAAATTCTAGCACAGCCTAAATAATCTCCCTTACAGCAAGAGATGACCTGGGGACACCTCTATCCTTAATTGAAAACTTAGAGAAAGTTCAAGGGTGTGAGATACACTTGTTGGGCTTCAGTTTATCTTATCTTCTAGTTTTTCTTTGCTGGCAAACTTTGCATTGTAAGCATTAAACTGGGAATCTGTTCCAAAGATTTTATCCCAGTAGGTAAAGGTTGAAGCATAATTTCCAATAAAGTTCATGTGATGAAAATCATGAAAACGAGCTCCAGCATAAAATGGAATCAGATGTAAGGGATTCACAGGGATATCATAACCACTGGAGACAAGAAATGCAAGATATTATTAAAAGGCCATTAATACACAAGGTATCAATATTGCAAACAAAAGCTATGAAATGGCCCAGATTTTGCAGTCAGCAGTATAGTGGAAATGTTCATTGCTAACTGAATCAAGTGGTTCAACCCTAGCTTAATTGTAAGGGGCAATTTGTTTTCTCAAGTTCAGAATGATTCCAACAGCAAAGTTAATGCAGCAGCCTAGCAATGGCTCATTGTCAGCAAAGCCAAGCCCTGTTATGGCATTACAAGCTGAAGATAGGTCTTTTGAGGTATGTGTTCGGCTTAGTGACAGGCAAATTAATTTCTTAATTGATGGTAGCAATACAACTGTGTTTAAAGTTAAACCACAGCAATGGCCACCAAACACCCTAGTGCATCCAACCCACTAATACCAGAAAGAGCATGTGACAGCTCAGCACAGGACATGAATCTGTGCACCCCTCACTGCACATCTCCGTGTCAGAGAGAGAGAGAGAGAGAGCTGAAGGACCAGGAGGGAGTGTTGCTGCCGAGTGTTTGTCAGAACACGTTCTGGCCTGCTAGGAGCAGTCCTAAAACAAATGTATGGTAAAGATTTATTGTAACTGCTGGAGCAAATTAACCCAGACTCCTAATTGACAGGTCCTATAGCTGCAACATTCACTGCTAATAGGCCAAGATCCAGGCCATTCTTTCATTTAAAATAAATTTTCAATCTTAAAGTACAATTTTGAAGAACAGATAACGTTTTTTAAAAAACGTGATGTGGTAACACATTTAACCAAAGGCGGGAAAGATCATGGGAAAACCTGGCTGGTGTCAAATCTCCTAACAACACTACATGAGCACCAAACCACATCAAGTGGTGCTCCTGAAGAAAACGTCTCATTGCCACCCAACATCTGAAGGGAAATTAGGAAAAGGCAACAAATACATTGCAAGCCACACTCACTTGCCATGAAATGAGTTTTTAAAAAAATGTCCAGACAAGGGATTTTTCCATAGTCTCAAAGAATTGAAGGAATGAATTAACATAGATTGAGAATAGTGCACAATTAACTGTCAAAAAACAAAGAGAGTAAGGACAAACAGGACACTTTCAGGATGACAAGGTGCAGCTAGTGCAGTACCACAAGATTGCGTGTTGGGTCTCGGCTACTCACGATGCACATCTTAAGTGAGGCGACCAAGTATAATATACCCAAAACAAAGAAAACCAAAGAACCACGGATGCTGGAAATCAGAACCAAAAATGGAAATTGCTGGAACACTGTAACAGGCCTGCGACAGAAGATGCAAACATAGTGGCATGTTAAATTAGCAGGCAACTTGAAGCTCAGGGTTATTTTTCCGGACAATGGTGTTTTGCAAGCCGGTCACCCAGCCTGCTTTTTGTCTCCCCAGTTTAGGGGAGACCACACTGAGCAGTGAAACCAGGAGACTAGATTGAGTGAATTACAGATAAAATAATCACTTCACCTAGATGGTGCGGTTGGTAAGGAGGGAGGAGGTAAGCAGGCAGATATGACACCTTCTGCAATTGCACGGAAAGGTGCCAGTGGGGTGAGAGGTGGTGTTGGGAATGGAAGAGGAATGCACCAGAGTGCCCCAAAGAGAACTGTCCCTGCAGAATACCGACAAGGGTGGAGAGAGGAAATGTGTGCCTGGTCGTGGCATTCAGCTGGAGGTGACAGAAATAGTGGCTTACAACACTTTGGATGTGGAGGCTGGTGGGGTGACAAGTGCCAACCAGGGGGGCACTATCATTGTTATGGAAGGGAAGGGGTGAGGGCAGAAGTGCAGGAGATGGGCAAACACTGCTACGAGCCCTGTTGACCACAGTACATCCATCACATCTGTTCTGAGGATGCCACCTTCTGCAGGGGGGCCTCAAATGTCCACCTTCTTCCTCAACCAAGCATTCTCCACTAGCCCACTCACCTCTCCCTCCCAACTTCGCCTTCAGCACAAACACCACTTTTTCATAGCTGCTAACAGTTCTGATGAGGAGTCATCAGACCCAAAACATTAACTCTGCTTTCTTCCCACAGATACGGCCAGACCTGCTGAGTTTCTCCAGCAATTTCTGTTTTTGTTTTAATCAGCCAAACCGGTCTCACCTCACAATGTATTCAGACCTACCTGTGGACATCAATAGTTTCCAGTAGGCGGAAAGCAACCCAAGCCCACAGCAGTATCACATGGTTACAGAAAATCATGATTCCAATGAAGAAGCCTGCTCCAAGGATAATGGTTTCCAATGGATGAGCATATTCGGCTTGCATGCCAAATGGGGACTAGAAGAAAGCAATTCGATTGATACAGTTTGGTAAATTTGCATTTTTAGTACTGAAGAAAATGAAAAAGGATCATTTGTCTCATTAACCTCATTCCCTTAAATCTAAGTCATCAAGGAAATGCTCTGAAACACCTTTTGACTCGAGGGCAGATCTTGCCAAGTTTTTCTCATCCATTTGCATATTTATCTCTGTAAAACTAACAATTCGATTTCTGTGCATGATGTGGCTTTTATGCCACTGTGTTGGTGTCCCTACCTCTAGGTCAGGAGAGGCACCTTGAAGTCCCAAACACGATGTGATCACTATGGAGGTGCATCAAAACACATCCAAATGGTGATAAAAGAAACAGGTTTCACGAAGGATGCTTACTACCGTGGTTGTATGTGCTTAGATGTGCACATACGTATGAACATGCATATAATTGTCACGAAGTCTGACATATCTTGAAACATTTTTGCATATGTCTTTGTGATTTTGCACTGATACATCAAGTACCTGAAGTCCAATTGTTTTACACAGATTACTTGATTGACAATGGAGTCAAATGTTATGGGGGTACAGGGGGAAGTGGAACAGCAGCTTTATCAGCCATGATCTTATTGATTGGTAGGAAAAGCTCAAATGGATTACTCCTGCTCCTAATTCTTACATTCTGTGTCTTTTAGCAAATTAGGAAGATGCATATGACTTCAGTGCAATAGTATGAAAGAAAACCTTGAAAAGTAAAGCTTCTTGAAAAGGGGTTTCACGGTCGTAATATCAAGATTAAACAAGGAGGCCAGTTTCTCAGACAGACATAAGAATTGACATTGTTACCCAATACTCACTTTGCTGTACTCTAGAAACTGGCAAATTCATTCACTAACCAATCATTTCTTCCACAGTTGCGCAAAACCGATATCACTAGGTGACCTTAATAATACCGTACAGTTGAAAGCTAGTAAAAATGGTTATACATGTAACAAAAGACTGGTTTAGTCACATTTTAAACTAAATGCAGAAGAGTGTTTGCAAGTGGACAATGAGCATCTTAAAAACACTTTTTAGCTTTATATAGTTATAAAATGGACTTTTCCCACACTAATTTGCAAATGTTATAGTTGACCTCAAACAAGAGGGTGTTGCTTTTATTAAATTAAATCTTTTCTGAAACTATCTTTAAAACCAAAAAAGTCGGCTCACCAAATTCTCAAGGGCAACTAGGAACAATCAATAAAGACTGTATCAATGATGACCATTAATAGGAAAGGAAATTTAAGAATGCAGAGATTTTTGTGCCTTGTTAAAGATTTCAGTTCCAAGAACTGAATTACATGTTTTAAATTTAGAAACACAACCACACAGAATTACTTGAGGAATTTAACAAGATTAACAAAGCACTGATGAACCAGTGTCAATTAGTAAATCTTGCAAACTGAAGTCCAACATTAAAAAGAAACAAGAAGTTGCACAAATTCAAATTAGTAAAACTAAATTTTTGAAAATGCCCCATTGCAGCCTTAGAGTTACAGGGAACATTCTGAATATTAAGAGGACAATTTACTCTCACCTTTAGGTAAACTCTGCAAGTCAAGGAGTATGGAATTGCAGAAAATAAAACAGTATGCTTGGAACTAACCGTGAAATCATGGTGCACCTTGTGAATATATTTGTAGATTCTCCGGTGATGTAACAATCTGTGCAAGAAATAGTGCCAGGTATCCTCAACAACCGCACAACCAAGGCACTGAGCAAGCAGCATGTACCTGGAGATTCACAGGATATAGTTAGAAGCATATGCTCCAGTCAACATAAAATCCCATATTATTTAAATGGATAGAGCCACAGACAATAAACAAAAGTTTAGAAGTAGTGTGTAAAAACAAATTTTAAGCAACAAGTGATTATACTTCAACTACTGTGGTAAAAACGGTCATCTCAAATCCAAAATCAATTTTTTTTTTTTTAAAAATGTAATATACATAAATGTTTAGTCTGAGTGAAACATAGTTGTTTGGAATGCAAGGTGGTTAACTTCAGAAAATGGCCCTTCTGCTGAACATTTGGGTGCAGTGCAGCCCATCCTTGAAGGAAAACAAAATTAACCTGAACAAAATCCATCTGCAATTTCACCACCTCATACACTTCGTAAGACTTTCGAAGAATTTATTTTTAGATGCTGTGACTGTGTCACAAAGAAAAACAGGTAAAACAAGATTTTGTTTGCAACTTTTTTCAACAATCTGTCTCATTTCTACAAAAATTAAAATCTTTGCTAATCTTTGTTCTAAGGTGCTTAAAAAGATAGATTTATTTGCAATTAATTGCCAAATTTTGCTCCCCTGGTGGCACACTAATGTCACAGCCAGAAGGTGGAGTTTCCTGTACCATACCCGATACCTGAGGAAGTAATACTGACAGAGAGCATAACACATCATTGCATGTGCTGGTTTACCAAATGGGAGTTTAAACCGAGGGCCCACCTATCTCTCTGGTCAACAGAAAAAAAAACTTACGGCACTATTTAAAGCAGAGCTGGGTATTTCTTTTTTGTGTCATAGCCATCAATCAGAATAATTCAAACACAGCACCTGGACATTATTTTCATTGCTGTTTCTGGTCCTAGCTGTGTGTAAATTGGTTGCCACGTTTTCCTACATTACAATTAATACAATTCAATATTCAATTAGCTGTAAAGTTCTTCAGGATGTTCTGTGGACATAAGGTAAGCATTCGAATAAAAACATCAATTTTAACTTCAAATAGAAATTATACAACTAAAACAAACTGCCTCCCCAAAAAAGTACAGCAAGTACAATAGTACCATCTTGGCATAGAGTCCCAAGTGTAAGGGATGTTAAAGAATTCAGTGAAATAATAAGTGCCACAGATCATGGGAAACTGGATACAGAAATGATTGAAGAGCAGCACTTTGAAACATTTCCATTGTTTTTCCCACGTTTCTGGCTTGTCCTAGAAAGGAAAGAAACAGATGTTGATGTGATTTAAATCACAAAAAGTCTTTTATGAAGAAACACTTACATTAAAAAAAAATTTAAAAACACAATCTTTAATGACTGCTTGCCGCTTGCATCCAATAGCAAAGTTCAAATGCACAGTAGGTAACAATAGCATCTGACAAAATAGACAGCACATAAAACTTCCAGTATTACATTCACAACACTGAGTTATTATCCTCACCAGAGTTTTCAAAAGACATTGCTCATTGAGCTTACAGCAAGTCGATACCATAATTTTATTTACATACATTATAAAATACACACACATACAGTCGACATTAATGTTCCATTTGATTTCATGTTTGAACATTAAAAAAAGTGAAAAGTTATGCAAGGACAATAGATAACTTATCTGTACAGACCTCCACAGCAAACAGCCACCAAAGCTCGCTGCCATTTTCACAACATCACAAGTCAAAAAAGAAGATATTAAGCAGCATGCCAGAATGGATATCAAGATGATAAATGGATTTCAATATTACTGATACACGCATAGGAAGACAATATGGGCCAAATGGTGGCAGATGGGACTGGATCAGTTTCGGATATTTGATTGGCATGGATGAGTTGAGCAGAAGGCTTTAGTTCTGTGCTGTATACCTCTATGACTCCATAAATCTGAGATGTTACATTGGAGTAGTTAAAGAAGGGCCACATGTTTCTTGGAAAATTAAAGGTCATTTTTGGCGAGGGTGAGGGGGAGCGGTGGATGAAGGTGAAAGGAGAGATAAGCAATCTTGTAGTACAGAATTATAATAATAGTAGCATCACAGTTAACAAGGCCACACAACGCAAACACTATCTAGAAAGGAATACCTGACCTGAAAATCTGATCAGTCAGATTAAACTTATTTGGAACCTCATTAGGAGTACCATTTTAAAGTTCAGGATCCCATATTACAAACAGGAATAAAATTTACAGAAAGTTTTATATGTACAGTAATGGTTACTACATTACTAGACTAGTACACCAGAGAGCTGAACTAATAACCCAGAGTTAGCAAATTCAAATCTTATCCTGAAAATGGAGGGATTTAAATTCAGCTATTCATCTTAAATAAAAAAAAAACTGGAATCAATAATGGTGACAATCAAATGACTGGATTATCATATGAAGCCAATCGCTTCAACAAAGTTCTTTACAGGAGAAAATCTGGCTCCATCGCTCAAACACATCTAACCATCATGGGCTTTTCATTCCACTATTTCTGGCTGTGTCTTTTGCCTCTTAGGATCTGCAATTCCCTCTTTAAATACCTCTCCTTTCCAATTAAAACCTTGTTCTGTGACTAAATTTTTAATTACCTTTCTCCATATCACAAAATTAAATATATGTAGCTGTTTGTTCGTACAGAACTTGATTATTACTGAAAAAAAAAGACACAGCTTGTTAAAGCTTCGTTTTCCATTCATCAGAACACTTGCAAGAATTACCAATGAAAAGGGAAACCGAGAGGAGAGTGCAGTTTAGTTGGCAAGTGGACTTTGGTCAAGGTGCTGCCATGGGGAGGTACTGCTGTATACACCAGTTAACCAAACTTTGTTTGCATTTAAAATGACGCATTTGACTCTGCTTCGTCAGCAATATGCATGTGTGTTTTTCTGTTTGCAAAGAACAGCACATTGAATTAGTATGTGTAATATAGGACTTGCATTTCAATAGCACTAATGTGCTCATTACCTCATTTGACATTGCTAGTCTACTCACCACCTACCATTGAAGTAGGCCATTAATTTTGTACTATAGTGTCATATCATAGCTATCTGGACAAGCCATGATTTTGTGAAGAAGCATCCATCAAACTTAGCAACAGTGGAGTTCAGTTTTAATGACACCCACATGCCCAGATATATGGTGCTTTCATGTGAACACCCTCAGGCCAGCTTTTGCAACATTCTTATTGGGTTCCATAAGAAATATGTCTTTGATGGAATGGCACTTAACCTCCTAGGCTTTGTATTTTTCTGACATCCAATAATACGCTAGCCATATTTGACCCACAACTGCATGTAAAAATTTCCCTTCACATCTTACTGGGCTCTATCCTGCACTTCAAATTTACCTTCAAGATTGAGCAGTCTCATAAGCTCACTTTTCTGTTCATGCTAGTTAAGTCTCAATTATTGTCCACTGCAAGTGTACATTCACTAGTCAACATACACATTGGGAAGCTAACAGTTCCAAACATTAAGATTGGCCTTATTGGTAACCTGGTAAAAAGGTCTTGATCCGTTTGCAAGCTTGTCCCTGAAATGAGACACATCAGGGCCATCCTGCAAGAAAATAACTGCCTTGATTAAAGTATTTATTGCTGTATATTGTGCAAACTCATGAATTCACTCAAGGCCACCACTTGAAAAGTGGGCAGTGTACTTTGAATTACACTGGAGGTATCTCAAAAGCTTGTGCAATAAGTGAGGCTAGCTGTTTCCCACTATTATGCAGTAGCCAAACAACTGGTCCTAACCACTAACAACATGCTGCATTCAAGCTGAAAAGACATTCTGTCTATCACAGAAATGAGTAATGCTGTATATGAATTTTGGTGCTATACTTGATTTAAAAAAGCTATATGGCAATTATGCACTGTAGATTTAATTTAATAAATACTTGATACATAAATCCAATTGTTTTATTACTAATGAAAATTGTGTATATTAGAAGTTACATTCTTCAGGACACAGGAATTCATGTAAATTGTTCTGCTGCAAAAAAATTTTACACAGGAATCTATTCCAAAAATCATACACATGGCAGGAGACAATGGGTTAACCACTGCTGGCTGATGTTGAACCTGCATCTCTGCAAACTGTATTGGTCTGTGTTGATCAGACCTCCTTGACAGAATGCTAAAAAGTTATTTAAATCATAAAACAAAATCAAAATGGGCCAACCGAAACTAATGGACATGCATATGTGACAAGGATGGTATAAATAATCAGCTTGGATTTCTGTCCAGTGTCTAAAATCTGTACAGGAAGTGAGTGGAGCCTAATCAGCCAGGTCAGACCTACATCACTGACATATATAGTATAAGTATAAAGTAGACCGCAGTCAGCAAGACCTGGGTTCAAGTCCCACCTGTTCCAAAGGTGTGTCACAGCATATCTAGCCAGGTTGATTGCAAAATACCTACTTTCTAATTATGTTCAGAAATTTCAACTATAGACAGGGAAGCTCTTGTGGAACTGCGATAGTGTCTGTAACTCTGAGCCAAGTTCACTAGAGATGTATCATGACCTCAAACAGTTTGCTTGAAAAAAAAATCTATCATAGTCTGTGGGCTAAGTAATTCCTGGTTTTGCTCTGACATATATTCCCTCAATTCTAGGTCACAGACTTCAAAAGAGGGAAAAAGCATAAAAACACAATGATAGCACACCTCCCTACATACACCAGGAAGAAAATAAATTATGTACATGAAATACCTATTAAATACACCATGTGACAATGGACTAAAATCAACCAAAACTAAGCTTCTAATTAGTCAGAGCTGTACAGCATGGAAACAGACCCTTCAGTTCAACTTGTCCATGCCAACCACGGATCCTAAAATTAATCTAGTCCCATTTGCCAGCATTTGCCCCATATCCCTTTAAACCCTTCCTATTCAAATACCCATCCAGATGCCTTTTAAATGTTGCAATTGTACCAGCCTCCACCATTTCCTCTGGCTCATTCCACACACACACACACAATACCCTCTGCATGAAGAAGTTGCCTCTTAGGTCTCGCAAATCTTTTCCCCCCTCACCTTAAACCTATGCCGTCTAGTTTTGGACTCCCCCACTTGTCTATTCACCCTATCCATGTAGCCAGTTTTTCTTGGTGAAGGGAAAAATTTGAAAATCATTACACTGAACTAATTTTATCATGACGCCAGAATTACATAATTTTCAATATACATGACAGTTTATTACTAAGTTTATATAGCAGAGATGTATGTACGTACATAACACAAATTATATTGCACCACTATCTTCCCAGCAGGACAGAAAAAAAGACAGGCAGCAGAAATGTGCATGTTTGGACAAACAAAAAACACAGCAACCACAGATAATTCTCTCAATGGTTTTAAGCAATTATATTCCTCATTTGCTTTCGATGAGAGTTTCTTTCGAAGGGAGTAAATATCCTTACATGGCAAAGTCTCTTTAAAAGGAGTAAAAAGAGCGTCGTGTTGAGCAATAGCAGAAACGTCGTAACCAAGTCTCCTACGGCCCCCGAACCTTTTTACCTACCTGCTGGATTTTATACTTCTGCATGTAAGGTATGAATTGAAAGATAAACCCAGGCAGACAAAAAAGGAAATAGACGAGTTCGTGAACAAGTAGCGAGCCCCATGTTGCAATCTGAAACTTGGTGTAATTGCTCAGCATGTAGTCCCAGGCGCTACGGAAAGGTCCTCGGAGCGGGTTCGCAGGAAGCATCGAGTCGACATAGTCAACAGCCAGGTAGGCTGAGCTCAGGATCGCTCCAGCAGTGACATTCATCGCTGATGGTGCTGGTTGTGGTGGTAGTAATGGTCTGAGCGCGAAGGCGCCGGACACTGCTCCCAGAGCGCGTGCCCCACCGCCCAGCTGTGTGGACATTCCGTCCCATCAGCTGTTACCGCGAGCTCCGCCGCCCATTGGCCGCCTGCGGAACATCAGGAGGCAACACCACCCGCTGATTGGCCGACCGGGTGGACTGATGTCGCGCGAGACGGCAGGCCGTAACAAATAGAGAAAAGACAGAGGCTCCCCAAGCAGAACATGGTCAATAGGAGATAGTAGGAACTGCAGATGCTGGAGAATCTGAGATAACAAGGTGTAGAGCTGGATGAACACAGCAAGCCAAGCAGCATCATAGGAGCAGGAAGGCTGACGTTTCGGGCC